ATACCAAAAGAAAAGAATGTCCACACCTTTATCTCAGCGGTTCTGCCAGGAGTCTGTGGCCGCTCCGATCCTTCCCTCGCATGGTCTCACCCAAGATGGCGAATCTGGAGCAACTCAGCATCCCGGACTAGAAAGCAATAGATTTCTTGCTTCTGCCACAGATTTCCCCAGCTGTGAGCCTTCCAACCTTCTCCATATTCCTTTATATGTGGTTCAGAGTTCTGGGACCAGCCTCTGAGCCAGCTTGGTCAGCTATTCTGTGTCGTTGTTGGCAGAGCTCCTTTACTGCACTTCCACCTGATCCGCCATCTTGTTTGTTCTCCTCCTGGGAGAGATTTTTAAAAGAATCTTCTTGCCTCCCACTACTGTGGACTCTGATTCAACAGGCCTGGGTTGGAACCCAAGACTCAGTTATGAAGGGGCTGTGGGGAACGGACTCTTTGTCACTAAAGGCATCTCCAGCTCAGTCTCATTAAGCTGCTGCTGAAGTCATTGGATTAAATAGCCTTCCCACTCTTTCAGTATAGTCCTTTTTATTCTCAAGCTGCTTTTCCCTTTGGCATTTGCTTATAAAAGCAGTTTTATAATTACGAGTTTGCAGGTGGATTTGTTTCTTTTCTTTTTGTTGTACTTATTTGCCTTCCCAAACAAACAACATTCACAACAAAAATCCAACTTATATCCTTTAGCACTTACGGTTTTGCTCTTCAACCACTAACTCCCAAGATTCAAAAGGTCTTGGCAACAGGCCCTTCCTGCCTCCTGGTGGGGAAGGCTGGCATAGCACATGCAGTGGCCATGCAGAACTGGGAATCTAGAGCTGATTATCACTCAGGGTTACTTGTCTTTCCTAGGACATGAATTCCCAGTCAGGTAGACTTCTTGTTGTGAGGTGCTGTTGAGTTGGTACCAACTCATAGCGACTGTATGCACAACCAAACGAAACACTGCCTGGTCCTTCTTCAACATCACAGTCGTTGCTATGTTTGAGCCCATTGCTGCTGCCATCTCTTTGTTGGTCTGCCTCTTTTTTTCCAACCCTCCACTGTACCAAACATGATGTCCTTCACTAGAGACTGGTGCCTTCTGATAATATGTCCGAAGTGTGAGGGACGAAGTCTGGCCATCTGGCTTCCAAGGAGTATTCTGGCTGTACTTCTTCCAACATAGATTGGTTGGTTCTTTTGGCAGTCCATGGCACTTTTAATATTCTCCTCCAACACCATAACTCAAATGCATCAATTCTTCTACAGTCTTCTAACTTTCACTTGTGTATGAGGTTACTGAAAGTACTATGGCTTGGGTCAGGTGTACTGTAGTTCTCAAAGTGACATTTTGCTCTTCAGTTTTAAAGAGGTCTAGCAGATTTTTCCTAATGCAGTACGTTGTTTGATTTCTTAATTGCTGCTTCCATGAGTGTTGATGGTTGATTCAAGCAAAATGAAGTCTTTGACAACTTCAATGTTTTTTCCATTTATGTGGATGTTGTTTATTTATCCAGGGGTTGAGGATTTTTGTTTTCTTTACATTTTGGTGCAATCCATACTGAAGGCTGTGGCCTTTGATCTTCATTTATTTTCAGCAATCAAGATTGTATCATCTGCATATCACAGGCTGTTTATAAGTCTTCCTCCAGTCCTGTTTCCGTGCTTTTCTTCACATAATACAGCTTCTGAGATTATTTGCTCAGCATACAGATTGAATAAATCTGGTGAAAGAATACAACCGTGGCTCACATCTTTTCCTAATTTTAAACCATTTGGTGTTCCCTTGTTCTGTTCGAACAGCTATCTCTTGGTTTATATAACAGGTTCCTCATGAGCACAAGTTAGTGTAAGTTATTATTCTCTGCTTTCACCTGAGATCTATCTGATGTCAGCAGTGATATCCCTTGTTCCACCCCTTCTTCTGAATCCAGCTTGAATCTCTGGAAGTTCTCTGTCAATGTATGCTTGCAGCCGCTTTTGTATTATCTTTAGCAAAATTTTACATACATGTAATATTAATGGTATTGTCCTGTGATTTCTGCATTCTGTTGGTTCACCTGTCTTTGGAATGGACACAAATACGGATCTCTTCCAGTCAGTTGGGCAGGTAGCTGTCTTTCACATTTCATGGTAGAGATGAATGAGTGCCTCCTGTACTGCCTCAGTTTTTTGAAAGATTTCCGTTTGTATTTCATCAACTCCCAGAGCCTTGTTCGTTGCCAAGGTCTTCAGTGCACCTTGGACTTCTTCCTTCAGTACCATTAGCTCTTGATCATATTCTGCCTGTTGAAATGATTGAACATTGACCATTTCTTTTTGATATAGTGACTGTATATTCCTTCCATCTTCTTTTGATGCTTTCAGAATCATTCAATATTTTGCCCTTTTGTTGTTGTTTGTTAAGTACCGTGGAGTTGAGTGTGACCCTGCGTAGGGTTTCTGAGGATCAGCTGGTGAGCTTGAACCACTGACCTGTTTTCCAAACTGACCTTGCATTCCAGCGCATTAACCCACAGCACCACCCCAGGACTCCATTTCTGCCCATAGAATCCTTCAATATTGTAAGTCGAGGCTTGAATTTTGTCTTAAATTCCCTCAGTTTGAGAAAAATGATGAATGTTATTATTCCTAAGGTTTTGACTTATGGTCGCTAAAACACAGTGGTTTTATATGAAGGAAAGGAAGGCAACTTTGTCAATCAAAGGCGCATCTGGAGTGGACAGATAGTAATCCACCCTCACTTCCTTGGCTATTCCAAACCATGACCCCCGTCCAGAACTTTTGTTTGTTTGTACAGGAACAAAAGAATGGCTTCCAGAGGCCCATACAGCCCTGAGGAAGAGTCTGGAGATGATGCCTCAGGTGGCTCATCGCAGCCCACTTCCTGACCACAGCCCACCCATGGAAGCATACTGTACTGGAGTCTCAGAAACAAAGCTTTGAGTTTGGTTCTTTTTAACTTTTCATTGTGAATTGAGTGAAGGTTTACAGAGCTGATCATCAGTGCTACATTCAACAAATCAGACACTTCATTTCATCGCGGTGTACCCTTCTCACTCATCGTCCCACCCTCTCTGTTTCAAGTTTCCATTCCTCCTCTTTTCCCCACCCTTCTGAATTGTGCCCTTTGTTACAAGCTGCTCTTTTGATCTCAAATGGTTGACCATTCTAGGGTGTGCAGACCTCACTAGTATTGTTGCCCCCGCTATAGACCTGTCTAGTAGTGGGCTGAAAATGGAGCTGTGGGAAATATTTACTTTCTTGCAACCATTATTACCGCTAGGAATCAGCTCTCTTGAAAGGTGCTGACCCAAGTGAGTTGCCTCTACGGTGTCCTGGGCTAGCATTTCCTACTTCGTCCTCAGCCTGGCCCTGTGTGAGCCTGCCACTTGGATGATGAGATGTGTTTGTGACTCTGTCCTGAATGGACACACAGCAAGGATCTCTTCCTTGCCACCTAGAGGTGGAGACTGGCACATTCAAACCTACACACAGGGAGACAGAGGCCTGCTGGGTCAGCTGAGGCCTGATACATAGAAAGCACTTACATCATCTCTGCCTTCTTTTTTGAACAGATCTCGAATCAGCAAAGTGGTGTTCTTTAGGTCATTCCAGAAGGTGCTGAGCAGTATTCCAGAGGACAAGCAGCCAGACTCCCTCAGGTGAACCCTCACTGCTGGGTGGCTATTGACGTGTGCATTTTTTCATAATTGCGGAGACTTCCCTTTTGATTTTGGCTTACGAATGGCAGGAAGCTTCAGCAGGAGTGGTGGCTTGGCAGTCTCCCGTTGCTGTGGAGTCCATCCAGACTCACAGTGACCCTACAGGTCAGAGGCCAGCTGCCCGGAGGGTTCCCGACATCTTGATGGAAGCAGGTTGCCACAGCTTTCTCCGCCATAGCAACTGGTTGTTCAAACTGCTAACCTTTCAGTTAGCAGCTGAGAAGTTAACCACTGTGCCACTAGGGCTCCTGCTGGCCACTTACTGAGCACTTACTGTGTATGTGCATGGTCTATGATATGGAGGGTGACCAGTTGTGGTATAAAGTCAGTAGAGACTAAGAGTAGAATTTGGACTCGGCTCACTGTAGAATTTGACTGACTCACACAGTAAAGTGCTCTACTACCCACTGAAAGGTGGGAGGTTCAGACTCACTCAGAGGCACCGCAGAAGACAAACGTGATGCTCTGTGTCTGGAAGGTCATAGCCTTGAGAACCCTATGGAGCAGTTTTCTTATGCACACATAAGGTGGTGCTGAGTCACAAGGACCAGAGGACAGGGAGCTCTGTGCTGATGTAAGTGCTGGAGAGGAGAAGACTCTTAGGAATGTGATGGCTTCTCTCTTGTTGGCGTCAATGCTGGTGCACTAGAGACGTAGAGTTTCAGTAGCTCTGTAAACACCCAGGAGTGTAGGGTAGGAGCAGGGGTGTAGTGGTGGGTGGTGGTGGATGTAGTAGACAGCTGTAAAGCCTCTTCAGGGCACGAGTGGGTGGAAGGCCCTATGGAAAGGCTGGCCACTTACTCGCACCATCACACCTAATGGTGTGGTAGAAGGCATGTATCTTATATGGGAAAAGAAGCAAGCTGGTCCCAGTGGGTTTCTCTCTGTTTTGTGTGTCAAATATAAACAAACCTCAAGTAAGAAGATTGTTGTTGTTGTTATTAAGTGCCGTCGAGTGGGTTCCGACCCATAGCAACCCTGTATAGGGTTTCCGAGGAGCAGCTGGTGACCTGGAACTGCCAACTTTGCAGTTCAAACAGCTTTGCAGTCTGGCGCATTAACCCACAGTGCCACATTAGGATTCAAGTACGAAGATAATTGTATTCAAATGCAGTAAGAGGAAGGATACTGTCGCAATAGTTAGAATATTTGAACCATAAGATCTGCAGGTCTTGCAAAGGTTTTCCAGGAAGGAATTGTCTTTCATACGGAAGGATAAACAAGAAGTCTTGGCATGGCGCTGTAGGCTAACTAACACCTGACCACAGTGTGGGTTGGCTCTGCGAAGTTGATGGTTCAAACTCACCAGCTGCTCTTCAGAAACCCTATGCAGGGTCTCTATGAGTTGGAACTGACTCAAAAGCACTTAACAACAACAACAAACAAGACTAGAAAGGCAGAGGATGGGACCAGAGAGTGGTATGATCAGACAGTTGGTTAGGAAGTGCGTACTCATGAGTAGCCAGTTCTGAAGAGGAACCACTAAGTCAAGGTTATTCCACAGTCCCATGATGACTCAGGCTGAGGAGAGGTTAAAGTTTTGAAGGAAAGAAGTTGAACTAAATTTTGGTCAAGTCAAGCAAGCAGATATTTTGTCCTGATTAATCAATGAGTGCCAACAGTTCAGCTAATCATTCATGAAGCAAAGAATGGGAATTTTGATAGTCTTTGTTTGGCCTTGGCATAAGTCAATAATGGAGAAGAGTCTTATATAAACGACTTGCCAAGTCACTATGAGTTGGAATGATGGGCAGATCATATGGAGAAGTCATATGGGGAAGGGTGATTCTTTGCCATTTCCCAGAACACAGAAGGATAAAGGCTTTCTTCACTTTCCTTGTTTGCCTGGAACACCAGACACTGTCCTGTATATGGACTCAACCCTTTAATGCTGAGATGAGCTGAGAAAAACAACTTGAGTCTCCTTAGAGCTTGGTGAAACACAAAAGATAAAATTGAATCAAGACATGAACCTCACTTTCTTTGACTCTTAGATGAGTATAGTTATAGTCATTATGTCACCAGATGGTGGAGAAGATGAAAGGAAATAGTGTATGTATAACAAACAATACGGGGCCTTGTTTATGTAACTGCTATTTTTATTTAAAAAACAGCCGTTGCATGGTTCAAATGTATAGGCCCCAGAAGACATTCTCTTAACTGGACATAAGTATTACAGATATTACTCCACATGTCATCCGAAATGGTCAAGGGTTTAGGAGTAGAAGAGTAGCCAGAAAGAGAAGAATATGAATAGTATAGAAGTACTTTGTTTTATTAAGAGAACTGCAGCCAAGACGTTTCTACTTCTGGTAAAAAGTATAGATCCTCAGAAATTTTTAAAATAATTTTTCATATTTTATCTGATTGATTCTACAAGGCTTGAACAGAACTTGCATTCTGTTCCCTTTATCGTTTTAAATCCATGTTTCGTTGTAGTGAATTCCCTACTACAGAGATAGACAACAAGTGCTGAAGCTATCTGTACCTGGGACTTCCGTTACAAACCTGTCCAGTTGGTGGCTTGGGCATCTTGTGAACACTGGTGATGTGATAAACTATTGAGTACCTGTGTGCTTGCTGGTATGTGTTTTCAGGGGGCAGAAGCTAGAGACGTACCAGGAATACAAGGAGGCTGCGTCTGTTTACCAGGAAGCCTGGCAGGCACTCCACAAGCAGGCATTTGGATCCTGGATCAGAACCCCACCGGATTATCACCAGTTTAAATGAAAAGGGGAAGTTTGCAAAGAACTTACTGGTAGCAGGATGTGTCCCAGCACTTCAGACAGAACTGCCTTCTTCCTTCATGCTGAACAAGCCGTAGCTTTTCTGGTGGCTGAGTCAGACAAATAGGCTTCTACCAGAGCATCATGTCTCTTGTATAAGGATGGAATTCCAGAACATAGAGCAATTTGTAATTGATTGAAGTAGCTCTCTGTTAAAACAGCATGTCACCATGGTGTCGGCCCTAAGTTGTATTTGATTGCTTTTCTAAAATACGGAATAAAGAGTTTGGCACGTGACACGTTAAAAAGCTGCTGCGACAACTCTGTTTCGTGTGTTCCTGCATTGAGTCAACCAGTATTTATTGGGCTGAAATGTGTGGTGCTTGAGTCTTTTCTTCAAGCTTTAATGTTTCACCTAGCAAAGTGAATATGTGTTTTTGAACACCCGGTGTTTCTTCCTTGGAGGGGCTCTTGTGGTCCTGTACTCTTCATGAGACTTGATAAAGCTAACCTCACTCTCTGCCTGTATGAACAAGCATGTGAGCCAGGCCCGGTTGTCCTGAACTCTCGGGAGACAAACTGTCTTCCTCTTACATCTGGAGCTATCAGGACCACGTAATCTTCAGACTGCCTATGGCCATGTTTTCCCAGCACCAAGAGACAGCCAGCCCAAAGAATGAAGGCACCCAAAAAGGCAGCAGCCAAGAGACTCACAGCTCAGTGACCTTGTTGGGGCGTCTGGAATCAGTTGTGCTTGACACTGGAGCCCAACATGGACTTCAGTATGTGTGACAAGCTCCTGTTGTTGCTTAGTCTGTTTTCTGTCACTTTCAGCTGAAAAGCGTGGCGCGGTGGGTTAATGCGCCAGACTGCAAAGCCATTTGAACTGCAAGGTCAGCAGTTCAAGCTCACCAGCTGCTCCTTGGAAACCCTATAAAGGGTTGCTATGAGTTGGAACCAACTCAGCAGCACTTAACAACAAAAGACCAAAGGTCCCTACAGCACATCAGAAGCAGACCTAGCAACTGAGCCTACTGTAGTGAACAGCTAAGACTTGACTCTCAACTTCTTTGTGCCATTTTGAATTGTTGACTGAAAGTGGACACTTTCCATGTTGGGATTATTCAAGATCCTCATTGGTCTTCAGTATTTCTATATGTTTAAATGTTTGTAATGACAGCTTTGTTGATAAACAGTTTGATGGATTTAACCCATTTAATGGATACACTGGGTAGATTATTCAGAGTTGTGCACCTGTCACTACGTTCAATGTGACAACATTTTTGATCACCTCCAAAGGAAACGCCATCCCTGTTACCAGTCACTCCCCATGTACCCAGCCCTCTCAGCCCTCGGCAACCACTCATCTGTCAGGACACCTCAGGATAAATGGACTCACACAATCTGTGAGCTTTTTCATTGACCATAATGTTTTCAAGATTCATCATGGTGTAGCTTGAATCCGTACTTCACACCTTTTTATGGTGAAATGACGTCACATTCTATGGATATACCACATTTTGTCCATTCATGACCTTTACCACTTGATGGATATAAGGATTGTGTGCACTTTTAATTTTTATAAAGATTGCTGTGAACGTTTGTGAGCAAACTTTTGTTCTAAATATTTTTATTCTTATTCTAAAAGTAATGTATATATTATCCTTGGATATTTTTTCCGTAAGGAATCCTTTAGATAGCAGGAAAGAAAAGCAGAAAGACTACTAATTGAAGACTGTTGTTGTTAAGTGCCGTCGAGTTGATTCTGACCCATAGCGACCCTGTATAGGGTTTCTGAGGAGTAGCTGGTGAGCTTGAACCGCCAGCCTTGCAGTTCAAAGCAACTTTGCAGTCCAGCGCATTAACCCACAGTGCCACAGACTAGGCTCCCCAGTATGCTACTTCATTCTTGCCTAACCCTAAATCCCACTTAAGACAGCAGGTAGGATAGCTGGACTGAAAGTAATATTTATCCACAGAGGATTATGTGTCTTCCTCCAATGAGATTTTATTTCAAAGGACAAAGATTTATATAAGCATTCAAGGGTTGTGTGTTGAGGAGTTGGTTCCAACTCACAGCAACCCTGTATAGGGTTTTCAAGGCTGTAAATATTTACAGGAGCAAAAAGCTTCATATTTATCCCATGGAGTAACTGGTAGATTTGAACTGCTGACGTATGGTTAGCAGTCCAGCTCATAATCCACTATGCTACCATAGTTCCTTTGTAAGTGCACTGTTGTTATGAAATGCAGTCGAGTGAGTTCCAACTCATAGCAACCCTGTACCTGGTTGTAGCTGGTGGGTTTGAACTGCCAACCTTGTGGTTTACAATTCAGTGCTGATCCTCCAACGCCACAGGAATTCTTGCAAGGAGGTAATGCCTTGCTGTTGCTGTATTTTATAGCAAGCTTGTCCCATTTGCATACAAAACTGAAACATAAAAACTACCCCTAAAGTTAGATTTTGTAATACAAACTCAAAAAGCCCCAAAGGCTATAAACTGAAGCCAGCTTCTCTTGTGCTCTCCCTGTTTTCTCAAGAGCTGAAAGTTGTGTGTAGACATCCGACATACTGTAGTTTAAAACCCAAGTTTAGAACCTCAGCTAAACTTTCAGTTAATCATTTCTCTGTAATATGGTCACTCTCAAATTTTTATCCATTCGATGAGAAGACCATGCGTTTTCCCTAATGTGTCTTAACCCACATTTGACTAATAACAGCTTTTACTTTAAAACACATATCCTTTTTTATTTTAATGTGTTATAGAGACTTTTAAGTAGACACAAAAACAGAAATCGTACAGCGGACGCCATGTATATAATACCCAACTGTAACAGCAAACGACTTTATACTGTTGTTTGATGTATTCCCTCACCCTCTTAATTTTTTTTCTTGAAACATTTGTTAAGACAAATTCCAAACATATTTCACCTAAAAAAATTAACAAGAGTTCTTTAACATACTGTCTGTTTCATGTTCCCCTGTAATCTCAAAAATTTCTTCTGTTCATTTATTCAGCTCAATATCCAAACAAGGTCTACACAATGCATGTTGGTTGATACATCACTTATGTGTTTCAGCAGTTAGCTGTCTTTTTTGTGTTTAAAAAATGGAGTCAGAAGTAACTACCTGCAGGTGGTGGTGGTGGTGGTTATATGCCGTGGAGTCGTTTCCGACTCATAGCGACCCCTCTCTGCAGGGCTTCCAAGGCTGTAAATCTTTACGGGAGCAGAAAGCTTCATCTTTCTCCTGTGGAACAGCTGGTAGTTTCGAACTACTGACCTTGAGGTTCGCAGCCCGATTCATAACCACTACGGTACCAGAGCTCACTACTTGCAGGTAGTGGGTCTTAAACCAGGGGTGGGAACCCTTTTTACTGTCAAAATTAATTGCATCATTTTCCGGCCATACAAAATTATAAAGTAAAATTTAGCCTGCTGTATCTTTGGTCAGATGTTTAAAGTGGGATAATGCACTGGGCTGTAAAATCACTTTGAATCACAAAGTCAGCAGTTTAAGCTCCCTAGTTGCTCCTTGCAAACCCTGTACAGGGTCACTATGAGTCAGAATGGACTCAACGGTACATAACAACAACAAACAATAGTGCAATGGCTGGAGTCCTGTTGTGTGCTGTGGGTTAATGCACTGGACTGCAACGTCAGATTGAACTGCAAGTGTGCTGGTTCATGCACACTGGCTATTCCTCAGAAACCCTATACAGGGTCACTATGAGTCAGAATTGACTCAACGATACTTAACAACAACAGTGTGATGGCTAGAGTTGCCATGAGTTGGAACCAACTTGATGGCACTTAACAACAAAAAGAGTGTGATGGCTGGAACTGTAGATGCTTTGGCAGGGCCAGACCAAATGATTCTGCAGGTCCTACATGGCCCAAGAGCCAGATATTCCCTACCCCTTAGACCAAGGACTGAACTGAATCAATTGAACTGGTCTGCAAACACTAGGATGGAATGGGGAACTAAAAAGTTAATATAGAAATCTAAGCTGGGTTCAACTTACATTTCTGAAAGCATTCTGTATGTTTAATGGGATTCGTTGTCATTGAATATAATCCAAGACCTCTCATAGGTACCTTTGAGATCAACACTGCAGATTGGCTTCACTTTGTCACAAGGGGTCCTGTGGATAATGATCTGTAAAGATGCCTTGTCCAAGGGCCAAGGGAGTTGACCACAAATAAGACACTGTAGGTCTAGACGATCTCTTTAGAAAGGCTTGTTTGCAACATAGTCTTTTGCTGGTGTCTGATAAGTGGATTTCAGGGGTTCCCACCATTGCCTCACTGACTAAACTGATTGCCAACAGTGTGGTTTGTGTAGGCTGAACACATCTGCTTTCTTTCGGTGATTCTTGAATTTTGTTGTATGCTAGTCAGAAGGTACCTTCTTAAGCAGCCCTCAGTAAAGTCCTTGGGCACCGAGTCTGTCATGGGCTTTGCTTGTAGACTATAGACGGCTCTTCACACGGGTTGCTGAAATAATGTCACTGAAGGAATGAAGTGAGAGTCCAATGGGCGAGTATTCTTGGAAACGCAGTGCTGATTCCTGCTAGACTTCGTGCTTTTCTCTTTGCAGGTTTTGCTCTATATATTTTGTTTTTCTCTTTTTCTTTTTTCCTACATACATTTGCTGAAATAAATAGATAATTAATGATTTTCCCACCCAAAATTGGGTCATTTATCCTGTAGAATTTCCCAGATTCTATGTTTGGCCTGCTTTATTCCTCTTGGTATTATTTCACAGCTTCCTTTATGCCCCACGTTTCTTGTAAATTTGCAGTTACCTGTAGAGACTTGATTCGATTCCAGTTCAGTTCATTTGACATGAATAGTTGGCAGGTGATTCTGCAGACTTCCATAGCACCTCACAAGGAACACAACATCTGGTTGTCCCACTTGCGCCGACTAAGAGGGGGTTCAGTGGTGTTACCTGACGTATCCCAGTACAGTTACCCCACAGCCCTCCACCACATGAATTTA